TTTTGATCATAAGATATGTTTACTGTTGACAAGACTTCCAATCCAACAGATAAGAGAGAGAGAGGAATGAAGGGAAAAGATCAAACTTACATAGAACTAACCAAGATTTTACAATGATGGGCACCCTCTGGGATCTCCTATGTGTATCAAATTATCTTTGGAAGAAGAAACGGCCTGAACATAGGTCTTGGTTTTAGAATGGTTTAATGATTACTAGCCCTGATGTCCTGCAAATTAGGCCTATACAGAGTATAAATAATTCCTTTGAATCTGATTAAATGTCTTTTGTTACAGATATAGGTTTATAGCTCGCTATATTGTTGGTAACTTAATGTTTCAAATTCAGCTTGAAAACAGCTTGAGCTACAATAAGATATATAAACTTGCTATGTTTCTATATTCAGTGAAGAACATACAAAGAAAACAGCTGACTTTTTCCGTGCTCACAGAGTGGATGAATCTGTCCGTGGAAGGGACGTGCATTGCTTATCACCAGATCAATTAAAAGCGTAAGTACTAGTAAATTCTTTAAACATTCTTATTGTAGCACACTCAAAATATAGCACATAATAAAAATTTTGACGAATTAGGGAAACTTTACCCCCACCCCCAGGGAGAGTGATGGCAAAGAAAGATTTAATCGTTAATCTTAAAATAAACTTACCTTTGAATATCAGTGAAGAATAAAATTGACACAATCACTGTAGTTCTGTAAAATTGACTCCCACATAAAAGGGGGATAAGTATCCAGATTGTACCACTGTGATATTTACCTTGTAGTATTGGATTCCTTGCAAACAAATTGGCTTCAATAAATTTGACATTGCACCCAACAGGTCACTGTATGATGTTATATGTGGAGAATTGTGAAGGTGGGTGATATAGGTGCATTGGACCTGTTGTTGGAATGTTGACTACAGAGGATAATCAGATAATTACATCTACTCTCCCGCCAGACCTGTATTGTTGTTATATACCATGTAGTACTACACAGCATTCTCTGTGCTCATCATATTGATACACATACATAAAGGAACAGGCTGTTGTAAAAAGGTATCAACAACACTGGTTATGAAGCTGCTAATTTGCGCAACATTTTTAGGTCACCTGTGACAAAGTCTCATGTGACCTATTACGATCGCCTTTTGTCCGGTGTCGTCCGTCGTGCGTCCATAAACAATTTACATTTTCGACTTCTTCTCCAAACCCCTGAACCAATTTCAATGAAATTTTGCAGGAACCTTCAATGGACAAAGGTCAACAAAAATAGTGGCCAGTTTAGTCCCAAGCCCCCAGGGGCCTGAGGGGCGGGGCCAAAAAGGGTCAAATTGACTAAAATTTTGAAAAATCTTCTTCTCAAGACCCAGATATGGTAGAATCAAATACTCTTCATAGATGGAAGGGTCTTAAGGTGCTTTACCAAAATTGTGAATTTCTTGACCCTGGGGTCTCACGTTTCCCCCTGGGGAGGGGGTAAACTTTACTATAGTTTATATAGGGAAATCACATTTTGGACCAACATTTGTTTAATTTCCATTGGAAGTAATTCAATTTGGGTTAGCATTATCAGTATTAGGTAGCAGTTTGATAGTATGCACCTATGAGCCCTGACTGACCCCCAGGGGCTGATGGGTGGGGCCAAAAAGGGTTGAATTGACTGAAATTTCAAAAATCTTCTTCTCAAGACCCAGATATGGTAGAATCAAATACTCTTCATAGATGGAAGGGTCTTAAGGTGCTTTACCGAAATTGTGAATTTCTTGACCCTGGGGTCTC